GCTCCCGGGTCGGCTTGTGGTTGTGCCGATGGAGCGGTGTCTAGTAGTAGAATGGGTGAGTGATGTAACTTTGACCGACGGACACCATGCCAACCTCCAGAGGGCCTGAGTGGCCACACTGGAGCATGAAAAAGCTTTACCAAGCAACATTGAATGAACGGTTCAACAGTCCAATACCAGTTCATTCAATTTCATCACCATTCTCTCTGATCTTCTTCCTGTTTTGTCCTTCCCTTACTCACTTGGCACAATAAGGCCGGTGACCTTAGCACGTCAGTTTCATGTCAACGGCTACCCTATGCTGCTCAATTCTGGAACACGGGAGAGATGCTGACATCTCCCTCCCTTCATCAGCGCAGCGGTATATCATCAGCTACGAGGCGAAATGCTCTTCATTGTCATGTTTCTTCCTGTGTGTTAACTGTCCGTGTGTCATTTCATGCCACCCTGTAGCAAGAGCTGACTATATTACACTCCCGTCCCATCCCGTTGGATGCAGCGGAGCCAAAAATCTTCGCACCCCAGTACCTAGACTGCTGGATAAACACACACAGCCAGAGAAATGCCGGTCGAAAAAGACCTCAGGTGAGGACTATCCTCACGGCAGGCAGGCAGGCAGGCGGGCAGCTACCGTCATAAAACTGACTGACACAAACGACATCAAACACAGCACAGGAACGACGACAGCTGACCATCACACATGTCGAGAGGTCAGCTCAAAAAGAGATACACGACAGCTGGACAAAAAAGACGGGCCACTTATCTTTTCCTCATAGTTCACATCGCCTCTGTCTTGGCTGCCTGAGTCAGCTGTTCGAGTGTGGGTGGCTGGGGCACATTGGGAAGGTCATTCAGCAGATGATGGCCGGTCACAATGTCCAGCGGCGTGTAGCCCAGCACGTGAGTCGCCGTCACCATCGCAGACGACACAGCGGCTGAAACGCACACACGCCCATTGGTCATGCCGGCTGCATTTATGGGTGGTCTGCTCACCTATGAATCCGCCCGATATCAGGTCTTCGCCTGTCAGGAAGAATTTGCGGATGGCCGTGCCGACGCGAGGCAGGGTGTGGGTGAAGCGCTCGGGAGTCTGGCGGAGGCCGTAGCTTGCGAATCTCTTGAGGTAGTGGTGCATCGACAATGGAGTGGAGACGTCGAAACTTGTGATTCGACCTGCAAGCACACAAGATACACAGGCGCTTCTTAGACACCTGCAGGGACCCTCAGGTATATTTATGGCCGACCTTCCAGCTGCGGGAAGTGTTTGAGCAGCAAGTTTTTGAGTTTGGTCTGCAGCTGCTTCTTGGTATCCTTGTAGGCCTTGGTGCGCCTCTCCGTGTGAGCGCCTCCCAGCGCTGTCAAAGCACACACAGGATGCAGAGACGGCCAATCAGATCGCAATCCCTGCCCGTATGCCTCTGGGCACCCACTTTCATTGAGCTGTTCGTACGCCTCTGGTGCTGCCTCCGCCATGATGAAGCAGGAAGTGGTGCCGGGGTGCAGATGCGTGTAGGCAGGGTCACGCGCAGAAAGGAAGGCTGCACAAAACAAGAGAGAGGCCATTTGCGTCAATTGAAGCACATGGGATTAGGTGCATCGCGCGCACAAATGAAGCAAAAGCCGTCTTCGACTGAGAAGTCTAGCAGCTTGTTGCGGTACTTCATGATGATCTCGTCCATGTCATGACCCTGATTGATATTAACAGACACGGCACACATCAGAACACGTTAGCGTCTTCTGCGCCTAGCTGACCTCAGTGGCCTCCTCAGGGAACCAGACCAAGTTGCTGGAGGGCAGGTTGAGCTCCTCCGCGGTGCCATTGACGCCGACAGACCCACACACACACGACACCCCCTCGCCGACCTGGCGGAGGAACTTCATCTCAGCCGCCATATAGCGCTCCACGTCAGCAGGCGACAGCAGGTGATGCTGCGAAGCAAGCGAAAAAGGAAATCATGAGCAGGGATGCCGTGTATGTGGCGCATGGCAGCATCACCAGTGTCGCTGACAGCCCTGCAGCGGATATCACGCCCATGCGGCTCTTGATTGTGTCACCGTTGGCGAGAACAACACCAACAGCCTCGCCTACACACACGGCACCACCAATTCCTCAGCACGGCTGCCTCGTGGCACGCATCTCATCTCATCCCTGCTCAGCTCACCGTTCTCCACGGGGATCCTCTCGACATGCGCCCTCACGAACACCCGACCGCCTGCCTTGTGGATGGTCGACGAGAGTGTCTTGACGATCGACATCGGGCCACCGACAGGGAAGTAGCCTCCTTGCAGGTAATGGTGTACGACCGCCGCGTGGAGGAGGAAGCTCAAGTCGCGAGGCGCCTCGCCCGTGGTGCCGTGTTGGCAGCAGAGGATCTGCTCTTCGCGCGCAGAGAAACCAAGACTGGCGATGACCTTCACATAAGACACACGATGCGGGCGTGCATCGACGAACGTGAGAATGCGCATGTTCTGCGTGGGTACCTCGTGTGTTGTCTTGCCAGCCCACTTAAAGCCGTTGCGGCCCAGCAGAGCGCGCCAGATCCGCTGCACCGTTGGTGTCCATGCGCGGGAGACTAAGAACACCATTGTCTCTGCCGCAGCCTCCTTAACCGTCTTGATCCACTCCGCCACGGCCTGCTCCTTGCCAGGGAGATGGCGACACAACTCCTTCTCGTACTCATCAGTGCCAGCACGCAACCTACCGCCCACATACACAGACGGCAGCAATGAGCCTCTCTGTGTGTGTTCATCTCATTGGCCTCTCTCCGGTCCCCTCCCGCCCTCTCTCTCACCTGACCAGCGGTTGGTCAGCAATCTTGATGATATCGTATGCGCCCTTGCCGGTGCCGTCTCTCTCATGCGTGTCTTCGTTCTCGTAGCCCATCTTGTGCCACGAGATGGGGTACTCGGGGTCGCCGGCAATGGCAATCATTTTGGCGGTCAGCCAGGTGTCTTTGGCGGTCAGCCAGGTGTCGTCATCGGCGACAATCCGCTCGCCGATGTAGTGGATGCCGGGCGAGAAGGTGGCACCTGACGAGTGACAAGGCGTCCAAGGTGGGCACACGACCAAGGCCTCATTCATGTGTCTACCTTACCTTTGTCTGTGTACGCTTGACAGCAGCCCCCGGCTATATAGTGCTGCTCGAGGACCACCACCTTGTAGCCACATTTGCTCAGACACGCACCCAGCCACAGACCGCTCACACCTGCATCAAACCAGCCGCACACCCGCACATTTCGTTAGACGCCTCTCTCCCCTCCCTGCCTTTCGCACCTGATCCGATGATGATATAGTCGATGCCGTCTTTCGGCAGCCGGTCTGCCTTGTACGTGTATCGGCCGATCTCCGTCTCGTCCACATCGCACGGCACCTCCCACCGCACGGCGCGATAGCCTCGCGGCTGCCATTTCGGCTTCAAGGCGCACAGCAGCGTGCCGATCGCCGAGAGCACCGCAGTGAGCAGCTGCAGCGGGTGCAGCAGCATGTGGATGAGCCACGCCAAATCCGCCACGAGGGAATGGTGAAATGCGGCGGCGCGGCGGATGGCGGCATACTGATGGACAGCGGAGGACTTCGCAGGCATGCTGATGTGTACAAACGTGATGGGACGGCGGATCCCCGTTTGGGTCAAAGATCACAGACCTTTCACGGACAATCTTACCCTTAACCACCACCACGTCCACGAGCAAGATGGATGGACAGGTACGTGAGATGCCCCGATGCGGATGCTTGGATGATGCCAGCGCGTCTCTTGGACTCTGACTCATCCAATCGACGGCTTCTCTGATGCAGGGCGGCGGGCGACAGGAGCTGCGTGATGTCTATGAGCAGCTGCGGTGGGTAAAGGCGCAGTTGCCGCGACTCGAAGCGCAGGTGAGTGAGGAAGTGGGTGCACATGGCTGCAATGGTTCATGGGACGGAGGGAGGGACACGGGTGGATGGATGGATGGTTTGTTTGCAGCTGGCAGGGCACGTCGACCGACTGGACGATGTCGTCAATTTCTATCCCTCTATCTGGGTATGTTTGTGTTGTAAGAATGCACTCACTGCACAACCGCAGAGAGCACAGATCACCCATCCATCTAGCACACTGTCCTCTGTCTGTGTGTCAGCAACTCGATCCGCCGCCTCTTCCCTCGTTGCCTCTACAGCTCAGGTGCGGTCTCACAGGCTTACGCTCCTCCCTCAAAGTCCTCCTCGACCACAATGAGTTGATAGCCGAGAAACTCACCGTCGACGAGGAGCGTCCCGCCCACCATGCCGACTGGCTGGTTGAGGCGCAATTGAACATGAAGCTGATGTATCTACCTGCACAGCACCGGCACACTGACTGACGTATTCTTATCCAACCATCACCTTGGTCGTGTGTGTTTGGTGTGTGCATGTGTGCAGCACTAAGTTGGAGGAGGTGCGCGATGAGCGTCTGAAGCTGGAGAGGGAGGTGGTGCGTCGGTGTGGCGGGTGGCCAATGGGCTCCAACGGCATCTACTGGCAGCGGGCATCGGCTCCAGATTCCGACTCACCACCACCACCAGCAGCAGCAGCAGCAGTGGCAGCAGTGGCAGCAGCAGAGAGCGGTTCGGTCTCATCTGATGAGGACGATGACAGTGGCAATGGCGATGTCGACCTCAGCTTGACAGAGGGCGAGGGCGAGGCTGAGCCTACGCTTTCCATCCCCATCGCAGCTGCATCACCTCCAGGCCTCAAGTGCATCCAGGAAATCAGGAAACAGGTCAGCACATTGGCTGGCCCGTGGGCTGCCCTTCCCTGTCAATGCAATGTTTCTTCCTTCGTCAGATCCCTGCGCAGTTGCTCAAGGCGGAGAAGATCTTGGGCGACCCTCACCGATTCATTGTAGGCAACACCGACACACACACCACACACGAAGGTCATTCGTTGTCTTCTCTCTCCCTCTGTGTGTGCAGCTGCCTGGTGCGGGTGAGTTCGTAGCCATGTTGTCGTCTGCCGTGGGCATGGTGTCGAGCGCAAGTGAGGTCCTCGACGCCGCCATCAAACCACTACTACCCATAGCCACCGGATGGAAGCCACCCGCCCAGGTACGACAGCTCGGCCGTCGAGCAGAAATGCATCCCTCACCCATCCGTGCTGTTCTTGCTTTCCCGTGTGCAGCCGTACGGGCGGCCCTGTTTAGACGGGCTGCTGCAGAGTGTCGTGAGCGGCGTGCTGGTTGGCTTCCTCGAGGCGGCAGACGTCGCCAAGACATCACTGACCAACCAGACGATTCATAGTCAAGTGGGTGGGCGGGTGACCACACAAACACACCACATTCTTTCCACAGAGCATTGTGTGTGAACCCTGTCTGTTGTCGTCAGGTTCGTTGTCGCGCCTCACTGGACGGGCTGCCCGGCGGCCTGTTCGTCCAGGGCATCGCGGCCTTCTTCAGTACCAAGGCGGCCGCCCGACTGTGCCGCGTCAGTAGGGATCTCCGCACTCAGATCATGAGCAAGGAGACCGGCATATTGCAGCACTTCATCATAGCCAGCGGCGACAAATACACACCGCAGCAACGGACCCTGCTCAAGCAACGACTGGTGAGACACCTAACACACGCATGCTGCGGTGGTTCTGACCCCTCTCCCTGCGTGTGCGTGCAGACGAGTGTCAAGGCAGCCACGATCGAGGCGCGCTCAGACAAGGAGCTCTCGGCGTCGGTGTTGGCGGCAAACAGCAGCACACTCACCCGCCTGAGCATCAAGGGCACCCCAAATGAGCGGCCAATGAGTGTGTTCGCCCATTGGGGCCGTAGGGCCTTCATAAATGTGGACCAGCTGAGCGTGACGAGCGACGCGTGGCTCGCATACTTCAAGTAAGGGGGACTTCACGACATGGCACACCAGCGCAGCGCATCGTGATGGATGTGGTACACGGTTTGTCTTGCAGACGTGATGGGTGGACGTTTCCCGGCCTGCTGACGCTCCACATCGACAGCAGCCGCAGCGAGTGGGTCCAGCACATCATCAAGACATCCCCGAAGCTCAAGACCATCACCGGCTACTTGTCGGCCAGCGCCGCCGGCGACTCCGGCTACTTCGTGCATTTCATGCGACGGCTGCCCAGGGCAGAATGCGACAACAATTGCGAGAACTTCCTCACTTCGCTCAACAGCTGCCCCCCCATCGCATCGCTGCCCAATCTCAATGTCGACGCCTTCACCGACCCGAGCAAGGCCCTCACGCCACTGTCAATGGTCAAGAACGCCCTGTCGGCACAGTGGGGCAAGCCATCGATGCTAGGTGGGCACAGTGGGTGGGTCGACGGGGAGCGTCAATCGATGTGGTGCATATGCGGGTGGGTGTTTGCACACCTATGTGTGTGTGGGTGCAGGCGTGCCCAAGAAGCTGCGTTTCGCTATTGAGACTGTACGTGTTGGCGCCGACTTCAATGACCAGGTCTGGTGCACTGCACTCCATCGCACTCCATTGGTTGAAGTGCACAACCGCATAGATCGCATGTTTTTGTGCTCTCCGTTTTTGTGCTCTCCCTACAGGTCCATTCGTTCCCTCGAGGACCCGGCTCGTTCGGCATCCCTTCATTCCTCTCATGGGCACAATCCAGCAGCTGCCAGGCAATCAAGCACGCCTCACTCACTGCACATACGCGTGTGCCTATGTCTGTCTGGTTGTCATGTATGTGTGTATCAGATTGAGTGGGAGTGTGACCACATGTGGCTGTCGTGCGAGAGCGACAAGACCGCCGTGTCATTCGCTCCGCCTCCAGACCGCACGGCCGCCCGCTTCATCGGTCAACTCGCAACCAAAATCGACAAGGTACCTTAAACTAAATGCGCACACACCCATCAGGTCACCAGCGTTGTCTCCATCCATCCATCCATCCATTGATTGTCGGCAGGTGACGTATGAGGGCGGCCTCTTAGCTCTGCATGACGATTGGAGTGACCACCTCTACTTCCCTGAGGCGAGCAAGCTCGAGATCTACGCCAACAAGCCCTCCCAGGACATCCCCACCATGGCCCCCTGGCTGGCCGACCGAGACGCCAGCGGCAAGAGCAGTCGATTCCCCAACGTCACCAAGCTGGAGGTGGAGGTCGGCTGCATCCAGGGGATGGGCAGGGGGATGGGGCAGGAGGAGCGAGACGAGTACGAGCAGCGCCCGCCGCTTCCACATACCCCGGGGGCGCTCCTGGGGTCGCTCCGTGCAGTGGAGGACGTTGAGCTCATGACCAGTAGCCTCGGCATAGTGAGGGAGGTCGTATTGTGTCTGCCAGCTCGTGTGTCGAGCCTTTTCGTATTCTGTGCCGCGTGTCTGAGTGAGCTGCCTGCCGATGCACCGGCTCCTGCCTACCCCCGCATCGACATGCTGATCATGAAGGCGGGCCGGGCAAAGGGGCACGCTGTCTTGGATGAGCAGCCTCTCACGTCGTATGCGTGTGTGCGAGGGTGCGTGAGGCTCATCTGTGCCATGCGGCCGCTTGCCTTCACCCTGACTGCGTTGGCCGACATGTCTGCGGGAAGTGAGGCGTTCGTCGAGGGGTGTCTGAGTGGGTGTGAGGGGGAGATAGAGGCGCTGTATGAGATTACGGTTCGGCGGATCGATGTGCACGAGAATAGGTACCGTCTGCAGGGCCGCCTACTGCAGGGGCCTGCCTGCAGTGGGTTTGGATAGGTAGATTGCACGCATGTGTGTGCGCATTCGTAGGTGGGTGTGTGGCTAGATGTGTGTCAGTGGCTGAGGTAGACTATGGGCTTGTACAGCGGGGGGTGGATCGGTGGGGGTCGGGGGTGGGTGTGCATGGTCCACACGTTCATGTGATGTGGCCGGACCGGACAATTGAACGAACATGAGGGTCCCACGTCTCTCTCGCTCCATCGCATATTCACAAAGGCTGAGTGAGTGAGTTGACTGGCCTCGCTCGCCGGACAGCGCAGCGTTCATCAGCTGACATGACATCTAGCCTGTCTGATGCTGTACAGTACACTTACTTGGCATACAAGCACAGATACATCCCAACCATTGCTCGAAGACACACAGGACAGGACCTCCTCTTAAAACACCGAGACATGCACATATCGATCCGACCCCATCTGCCTGTGTGTGTCTTTATGTGGTCATTATATTGCCCCCCTGCCGCCCCGCGGGACAACAGGGGCGCCACCACCGGCGGCCGCATCGTCCGGTGGATTCAGCGATACCACACGATCCCTCTCCTAAACATGACACACACATACGAAGAGAGAGACACACACAGTGGCGTTTCGGATGTGTAGGCGTGTGTGTGTGCGTTGATGTGACCTCTGGCGTGACGTCCTCGAGTCCCTGGTAGATCTTGACGCGCTCACTGGGGTCGCGACCAAGACCCCACAGCTCATCCTCCTGCACGCATCCATGCGCAAGAATAGAAGGGTAGAATGGGTGGATAGCCTCGTGACTCACCTCCAGATTGGGATTTTCCATGAATTTCTGTCGCTGATAATTGAAGAGCCGCAACTCCTGGCAATGCCAAGCCACACAGACAGACAGACAGCTGCTGTGCTGAGTGTTGAGTGTGTTTCGGTGCTCACCTTGCGCAAGTGTTCTTGCATGACGTCTTCGTACGTCATCTTGGAGGGGTCACGCTCTTCCTTAAGCGAAAACTTGGACGCGGTGCCACGAACGCCGTCCTGACAAGAAAGACACAAAACACAGAAGACATCCCTCCCTGTCTGCGCGACCCACCCACACTCACCTGTAGCCTGTTGGCTGCCACCAGTTCCCTCTCCTTGTCCGTGCCGCCAGCTGACGCCTTGGGCAGTGCGACGTTGAATGCGGGCAGCTGGAGTGAGTAGTCGGGTGCGGCGTATCCCATCTCCTGCTGCATCATCTCCCGCCTCCGCTCCTCCTCTTCTCGGTCGAACTCCTCCTCGACCTCACGGATGCGGGCCTCGTCGAACCGCCACATGAACGACATGCGGTCCTGATGCACACAACAGACAGGCATGCGTCAGGGGATGGGTGTCGCGCGTGTGGGGGGGCGGGGGGGGGAGGGGGTCCGCGTACCTGTGTGATGTTGTGGACCTCCCAGTCGAAGTCGTCCATCAGACCGTATATCATGAAGTCGGGCAGCAACGCCTGCAGAAGCGAGAGGGATGCCACAGACACACACACACACGGAGCCCTCTGTATCGGTGCACTCATCATACCAACTCACCTCGATATCGACCGAGAGCTGTCGAATCGCATCGGTAAGATGTGGCAGAGGGACGGGCTGGCCGGCACGGATCTTGCTGTCCCAGTAGTCGCAGATGTTGCGCACGACCATCTTGAACTTGGCCCACTCGCCCTTGGGCGTCTTGGCGATGAGCAGCTCCAGCATCGACTTGCGCATGTCGGGGTAGCGCTGCGACACCAGGTGGCTGATCTGATAAACCTCCTGCAACACGCACAACACACAAGAGGGTGCCGCAGGCATTGGTCTACGGCACATGCACCTCTGAGACTTCTTTCTGAAAGACATTGGAGACGCCCTGCTCGATGATCATGAGCACCATGAGCCACGGGGTCGGCTCGAGGTTGGGGTCATACCCCTTCTCGACGAGTATCTCCCTTTCCCTCTCCATAGCATAGTGGAGGTAGCCGAAGAAGTCCCTGTCAAACAGGGGCTTCATGCTCTCGGCCAGTTCGTTGAGCCGCGTGTCGTCGCGGATGGCCTGCTCGCAGATCATCTGGATCTTGCGCAGCTGCTGCTTCTCCAGCCACACCCAGCACACCTCCATGTAATGCAGCATGTCCAGCACGATCTCCGTCAGCTTGCGAAACACCTGACAGACATCAGTTACATCAGCCACACCCATGTGCATCTCTGTCAATTCAGGTGGTCTGTGCGTACTCGTCTTTCGTGGGCGGTTTTGGGGGGTTTGACATCGAGTCTGTGTCTCATGAGTGGGACAAAGCGGTCTGAGAGGAGGAGGTCTCGGTACTGCTCGCAGATGGTTTCCCACAGGGACGAATCGGTCGTCAGCAGCTCGTTCAACAAAAGCTCCAACCGGACAGCCTGCATTGCATGCCATCCATCTTGTGTCTGTCTGCATCTATGCGATGGATGGGATGCCTGCGCACGTACCTCTTTGGTCCACTCCTCTGTGATCCGTTTCTTTGCGCCAGGATCGAGCGCCTGATACTCTCTCGCACGCTCCTCAACTGCACTCAAAGACACACACACCATGCACCCACCATCCATCCCCTCTCGCTGTGTGTCTCGGTCTGTCTGACCAGTGGGCAGGTCATCCGGGTCATAGTAGCCCTGCTCCTGCCGCAGACGCCTCTGCCTCTCCTCCACCTTGGCCATCAGCTGCTTGTGCGTGTCGGGGTCCAGTGTGTTGTTGGTGTAGATGGCGTACTGCTTCAGATACTCGGACTGACGCTGCCGATGCGCCGCCGAGCCCGACACAAAGTCGACCACCGTTCCAAAGAGCATGTAGTCGTCCTCGAACTCGTCGCCTTGTGCCATGGAAGAGCGTGTGGGCTGCCCCTGCTGTTCAAGGGTCTCCTGCTCTTGGTGGTGGCCCATCAGTGCACCCTTGCGCATGGCCTGCGTCATGCAGATCACGGAACACATGTACCGTGTGTGAGTGGGGAGAGGGCGCTGAATGCCTACCTGGAATTTGGCGAGTTCGGTGGACCGTTTGATGCTGCCGTCCTCCTCGACGCGCTTGATGCCGTCCCTGGAGACACACCCAGACAGACAGACAGACATAGGCAGAACGTGTGTGCGTGCTGTGCATCTGTGCATCTGTGCATGTGCTGACTTCCAGAGCTCCTGGAACTCGTCGTCGGTCTTGCCGTAGCTGCCCTTGGTCACATTGGCTATCTCTCTGCGTGTTAGTCGGAGACACAGCACACAAGAACAAATGAGTCCGGTGTAAATGAGTCCGGTGTGGCGCCCTAACAGGTCAGCTCAGGTCAGCTTACTGTATTAGAGGCAGTGGCGGCCCTCCCTGCAGCAGCTTGTACTTCTCGTCAAACAGCTCCAATGACACATTCTGCATCGCCAACTTGTCCTGTACACATACACATACACATACACACACACACATGACCGCTCCACCCCTCCACCCCACTTCTCCACCCACCCACCTCCGGCCGCCAGTCCTTCCTCTTATCGATCCACTTGGGCCTCAGCTCATCACGCAGCTTCCGCATCTCCTCACCCATTCCCACAGCGAGCCCACCCATGCCACCTCCCATCCCGTCAGCCGTCAAGTCCCCCTCCAGGCCCCTCTCCACCCCGTCGTCATGCCTCTGTCTCTGCCGCTCCTCACCCATCCACTCCTTGTGCAGCCGACCAGTCGTCACCTTGCGCCTGTTCTGGATGGGGGCGCCCTCGGGCAGCTTGACGGTGCCGTCGGCGTTGAGGAGCTCTGGCTTGATGGGGCGGGAGATGGCGTTGCCGGGAAAGCCCTCAGGGACGGGCTCGCGCTTCTTCGGGTCGCCCAGGTACAGCGGCATCAGCTCTGCGGGAGACCTGACAGACAGACAGACAGACAGGTGGGTTGATTGATTCGAGGATGTGTGTGTTATCTCTTCACCTCGGCAGTGGTCTTCCATACTTGTCGAGACCTATCTCGAAGTCGTAGTCCCCTTCAGACCACACCCCCTTGACGTCGTGCTGCAGCTTCCGCAGCAGTCGTTGCTCCGTGTCCTGCACGGAGGCGGCTGTACGGGCGCCGTGCCGACCGCTGAGGCCCGTCGCCTTCGGACCGCGCAACACGACGATCGTGCAGCCGGCGGCCTGGTCGTCGGCAGCCGTTGTGGTTTTCTCGAGCTCCGGTGAGTCGATGGCGAGTATGTCGACGTGGTCTTCTCCGTCGCTCTCGATGAAGAGGCGCACGCCGTCGTCGAGGGCCTCTGGGGTGACCTCTAGGAAGGTCTGCGGCAGACCCAGCTCCGCCTCATAGTCACCCTAGGGTGAGACAAAACACACACATCACGCACACACGAAGACAATGAGTCCCCCGCACCCCTGCTCACGTCGTCGGTTTCATGTTCCTTGCTCATGGTGGCGGCCTTCCTGCTCAACAGGCGGCTCATTTCCCTGGACTGAGTGGTGGCCCACGACTGCAGCCACGCCACCACGTCGTTGCTGTCAAACTCAGCGAGCGGCAGAGTCAGCAGCGGACGGCCGCTCGGCCACGCGTGCCAAGCGGCGGGCGACGGTGCCTTCTGGATAAGCCCAGGCAGCTCGTCATACGCCCGCTCGTAGGCTGTCTCGCCCTTGATCACACCGCACCACTCGTCCAGCCGGTCCTTCTTGGTCAGGTGCAGCTTCAGGTATAGCGGCCTGGAGCTGCCGGTGTCCGTTGCGGCGGCAGAAGCAGGGACGCCTAAGCCCATGTCCTTGAGTGACTGGCGGTGGGTTGGCGACATGGGCACGAGATCGTTCCTGGGCTTCGGCGGCCGCTCGCCCAGCACCTTTGCCAGCTGGTCCTGCTGATCCTCGCTAGAGAGCGTCCAGAAGGAGTCCTCCACCATCACGCGACCCTTAAGCCTGCCCTCGATGATCGGCGCCTGCGCCGTCCTCAGCTTGAGGAACAGCGTGTCGGGGGTGATCTGACACACCACATCCGTCGACCTGGTCGCTGCGGGCACCATGAGCGACAGCTCGACGGCCTCGTCGTTCTCAGCCCACTTGTACACGACCGCATCGCCGTAGCCGCGAGCCACCAGCCATCGACGGCGACGCCTGGTGCGAGTGCGATGGGTGACCGATAACAATGCAGGCCTAGGCCTTTGGAAGCGGCGTGAGGGGATGGATGAGGAGAGGAATGAGGGAGCCGGCCTTCGGAGGGTCGAGATGGGCAATGCGATGGCAGGAGGGACGAACAGGCCAGCCACCGACAGCACCATTAGAGCACTTAGATGAATCCACAAGCAAGAGAAGACGCCGACAATCATCCTGATCACTTAGATGTGGTCATTAACCGCCGATGAGATGAGGGAAACCGCGAAAACTCATGGATCTGGCGCAGATCACCACCAGCAGCCTCTGCAGAGCACGAAGAATTCCAGATCTCCATAATTAGTGCAGACTCTTCGAACGCTCGCATTCTTAGCTCGCAATCGGTTTTCCGAAGAGCGCAATCTCCTTCAATGCGGTGGAGCCGATTGACACATCGCAGAGAGAAGGATGTCAGTGGAATGCGGGTACCACTGTGACATCATCTGCCCATCGAACGAACAGGCAAGCAAGCAGACAGACAGCCAGGGAGGGAGGGAGGGAGGGAGGCAAACAGACAGGCAGACCTGCAGGCAGGCAGGGCAGACGGGGATGCACGAGAAATACACAACGATATGTCTTTGAAACCTGCCGTTTGTTTGGTGTGTTTGTTAGGTGAGGTGATGGGGCTGTGAGGTTTTGAACCACCATGCAGATGTCTGACGATGCTCCGATGGACGTAAACAAAGATGACGGCCCTGCCGACTCTGCAGGTCTCATACGCCACCACCACCACACACGTCTGATGGACAGCCCGTGTGTCATGCCGTGTCTGTCATGATTGTGTGCTGCAGGTGGGCAGGGCGGCGGGCCGGGTGCAGATCACGGCGGCGGTAGCTCTCGCAATCTTGTGCAGATGATGAAATCGGTGAGAGAGAGTGGGGGAGAGAGCTACTCACATGACATACAATCGGCAGGACCGACATGGGTGTGTCGCTTTTGGCTTGCAGGTTGCCTCTCAGATTGTGTCTGACCTTGAGCGGGCAGAGGGCATCATAGCCACACATGCCGACAACAACGCACAGGTGCGCGTGGAACAACACACAGTCGAACAGCAGCACTCAGTTGTCATTCACCGGGCTGTCGGTGGCCTGCAGGATGGTGCATCGCTGGCCGGCAGCCTTGCTTCCATTCTGGAGACCCTCACCGACGCTCAATCGGCCCTCAACAAGCAGCTGGCAGAGACATCGACTGACCACATAACCCGTAAAACACATGTACGATTGGGACGACAAGTGGATGGCTCACACAGGCCGATCTTTCCCTGTCTGTCTGTCTGTCTGTGTCAGGGCAATTCGAACGACATTGAGGCGTTGGTGTCTGGGGGGCTGGATCAGACCGATGAGGACGCACAGCACAGCAAGGCGGTACGCACAAACTCATAGACAGGCCGACGCACACACATGGGTGGACCACGTCACACGTCATGTGCTCAGGTGGCGGTTGGCGAGGACGGCAAGCGTGGACGTGTAGACGCCCTGGCTGATGCGAGTAGTGGAGGTACAAGACACACACACACACACACACACATTGATGGGATGTATGGCTGCGCGGTGCGGTGCTTTCAGATGGTTCAGTTGATGTGTGTGGTTCTGCAGCAGCGACACAGCAGCAGGGCGTGCCCTTAGAGGTGACAGAGGGAATACGAGGATGTCCACACACATTTCTCAACCTGATGCCTGACTGCGTGTCAGAAGGATCACGGCCGTCCGTGTCTGCCGGGTCTGCCCGAAGCCGTCATTGGCCACCTGGGCTCCTTCCTCACCACCATCGACCACATCCGCCGCCTCTCGAGCATCAGCAGGGGGATCCACGAGAAGGCCACCGACAAGACGTATGGCGTGTTCCGCAGCTTGACCGTGACGCGTGCCGAGGAGCCCACCTACCACAAGATCGAGACGCTACACAACGTGGTCAGATGAGAGGGGGGGGAGGGGGGGTCGCTCGGCTGAGCTGTGATGCCTGACCTTGTTGTGACCGGTGCAGGTTAGCCAGGTCGAGAAGACGCTTGGCCTCTTCGGCAAGTTCGCGGACGCCTCTTGGGTAGAGAATGCCAATAAAGTGAAGAATGCCTACAAGGTAAGCGTGTCTGTGTGTGCAGCCCTGTCGATGCTTGTGTGTGTGAGTGCAGGGCAAGATCCAGGTGGCTCATGTGGAGGCTGACCGTGTGCCGTCTGTCGCGTCGGAGCTGCTGGAGGCCAACAAGGACACACTCAAGAAGGTGACGCTGGACGTCGAGCCCCATCTTCCATGTGACTTCAAGAAGATCACGCCGAACCACAGCGCCGCCGTGTTCTCCCAAGTGACACACCTGGACCTCCTTGGCCGTGCAGGTCTTGACCACATCAGGTACGCAGACAAGGGAGTCAGGGTTGACGCCACCGCCGAGTCATTCATCTCGTTACTCGACGTGTGTGTCAGTGATCGTTGCTGGACCTTCCCGGCAGTCACCACACTCCGAGTCGGCCGCATCTCCAATAGCAAGAGGGCCGCCCTTCTGGTGCGTCTGCTCCGCGAATCGCCCAAGATCGAGCGGCTGGAGTTCAGCGACGGCATCACATTCGACGACGCCCGGTGGAGCGACTTCCTCGATGCCCTCGTCGGCTGCCCCCACCTCACCACCATCGCTGGCATCGGGATCAAGATGAAGCACTTCGGCCGCCTCTGTCAGCTCAAGGACACCCTCGACCAGAACTGGAGCAAACCAGACAAGAAGGGTACGTGACCAGAAGGACCGAATCGCTTTAGTCGGGGGGCCGGATGGTTTGCCTTTCTGTCTGTCTGTCTCTCTTACCCGTTGCATACAGAGGCGCCGAAGAAGCTGGGGTTCGTGATGGTTGATTACATTTCGTCGATCGGTGTGGACTACGGGCAGGGGCAGGGGGCGGCCGACATGGCGGGCATCACCAAGTGGGCGGCAGACGTCCGTTGCCAGATCGAGTGGCCGAGAGTGAGCTGGCTGACCATCGACTGCAGCAGCGCTGCCACTGCTCGTCCTGCGCCCGGCGGACTCTATGGGGACATCGCCACGCAGCTGGCGGCCAAGGCGACCCATGTAAGGAGCGCACAGACACGGGGAGGCGAGAGGGAGTGCATCAGGGTGAGTATCTTTTTCCAGGTTGAGTTGGAGCTCGGTGGCACAGCGCTGCACGAGTCATGGCGGGACAAGCTCATCTTCCACAACACCAGCAAGCTCACCATCAACATCAAGCGCGGCGCGAGTGCATCAGCAGTGGTCGACAGCATCCCCACATGGCTGACCGAGAGGGAGGGGGCGACGAGCCGCCACCTCCCGGCTGTCAAACACCTGACGGTGCGCGGTTTTTGCCTGTCTTTGGCTGACGTGCGTGCCGCCAGTAGCAAGCTCAGCCCGCTTGTGGGCGGGTTGACGACACTGAAGAGTGTCACCTTCTCAGACAAGTCTAGCTTTGCTGCTGCGCGTGAGTTTCTCTGCTACACGTCGGTAGAAAGACTGGATGTGGTCGACATTGCTGGATGCGTTGGCGATGTGGTGTCTGAGTGGCCGGCGGACGCCCCCGCCACGCAGGGTGTCCGCTGCCCTATCATACACCGCCTGGTCCATCCATCCATCTATCCATCCATTGGTGCACTCATTGGGGTGTCGGTGTGGTTGTCGGTCGAGCACACAACAGCACGTGCGGTCACTCGCTGATGCGTAAGCACACTGTAGAGACATGTATGCACAGCGCTCGGTCACGCGTTTTTCTCTTTGGACGGCATGGCAAGGGTGCGTTGCTGGTTGGACGGCACACATCTGTCTGTCTGTGGGTCGGTGTTGGTTGACACATGTATTTGGGAGGGGAGGGGAGGGGGGTTATGCGTGCTGACAGCGTCCATCGATGGATGTTTGTATGTGTATATGGTCTATGGTGTCCTCATTCATGTGTGTGCGCTGAGATGCGTCCGTCCGTGTGTATAGCGATCGACCGACCGTGGGTGTGGGCAGACGTACTTGTCAATCTGTGTGCAGCTGGTCATCACTGTAGCCATGTAGAGGGTCCACCACGGATGTGTCCTGTCCAGCCATGCATGGCATGCACGACGAACGGAGGTCAGTCAGGCAAACGGGTCTATTAGTGTATGTCAGAAGAGCACAAGCAGGCACATTGATATTTAGAAGAGAGGCAGGACACATCCCATAGCCACAGGGCATCGAGTGCACCCTCACCGCCCCGCCTGTCAGTCTGTCAGCCAGCCCTATTGAAAAAGCAAGCCAACACCACCACCTGCCCTCCTGAACACCCACCCACTCATGCACCCGCACGCAGCACCCTCCGCCCGTCACTCACATGACAGTGACGGTGATCTTGGTGCCATCGACAACCCCCTCCATCATCTTGTTCATCGCAGCACCGCTGTTGGTCACCATGGGCCCCTTCTCGTCCGTGGCAGTGCCCGTCCCCGGCAGGATGCAGCCCGTCACATCTTTCACCCAGTTGCCGGTGTGGATCTGGATCTCGGTGCGGCCTGGGACGTCCTGCAGCTGGATGCGAGGCATCTGACGGTCTCGGCGGACGAAGGCTGAGTAGGTGCCCGTGGGAATCTTCTGGCCCTCGTTCTCTAGCGTGTGGCCGCTGCTGCTGTTGACGCCTGAGCATGAGAAGGTGCCCATGCGTGCCGTGATGCTGTTGTGCGTCGTGGGCGATGAGTCGCGGGTGATCACGATGGCAAGGCTGCTCGTCATGACTGACGCTGGCCGATGACGAGAAAAGAAACGATAGGTGGCGACGGAAGTGTTATTTGTGGTTTGTAATGTACGTGATTAGCCATTCTTCCCCGTAGGAATTCCTCGAACTGCGAGCTCTTTCGGCTAAGCTCGCAGACATGCTCCACTGAAGCGCCTCCTGAGCGCCACGGCGTTTTGTATCAACTTCTTTGTCACATCATCGGAACGTGGTTATCTGATATTCGTCATCCGAGCCTTCGGCATGAATGCTGCTTCGGCGCCGGCGGTGAGCCAACAAGACATCAGCCGGCCTCCAGGCCAAGCAGAAGAGGTCACGATGGCACCGGCAGAAGAGCCTGAAGCACCAGAAGACTCTGCTTCTCTGGTAGAGGAGCGGGATGAGCAGCTGACGGCGAGGGAGACTGAGAGTGAGACTGAGCCGTGGCCGCCATATGCGTTGCGCAGCGAGATCTATCGGATGTGGCATGAGCGGTTCTGCGACAGCACGTTCAAGGATGTGGGCATTCGCTACTTTGGTCGAGAGATGGGCATGGGGCTCGTGGCACTGAGGGACTTCCAAAAGGGAGATGGTGAGAGAAGCCAAAGGAGAGGCAAAGGGTCGCCTGTGTGCTGTGCATTGCCGGCCTGTTCTGCTTATGCAGTTGTGTACCGGGACACACCACTCAAGGCCATGCAGCACCTGTACTCCAAGTGAGCCCACACCACAGAGAGGGAGTGAGTGAACCACAGCTGTGTTGTGCCGCACTCATGTCGTCTGTCTGTGTGCCTGTCTGTCTGCCCTTTCCACAACAGACGCTGCTGCATAGCGTGCAGCCACTGCTTCCGTATAGTGGGTGGATTTCGCCAGCAGCTCGACCACGTACTCGCCAAGTGGGTGTCAACAGACCCCATCCATGAACACTGTGCCCTTCCTCATATTATGCATATCGGTCTGTGTGGCTGTCTGTCTGTCTGTCGGCATCAGTGCGGGCAAGTCGTTGGCCAAGAACTTTCCCGAGGCGCACCAGGCCCTGACCTCACATGTGACCAAGGTACGCAGAGAGAGGCGGCTCCAGCCACTCACTGATGCGGGCATAAAATGGGTGTGGTTGGGTGTTTAATTGGGTGTGCAGTATCTGGAGGAAGGGTTGCCTCGCCCCCTCAAGTGCCCACACGGCTCTGGGGAGGTCTTCTGCTCACACGAATGCATGCAGGTGCGGCAGGCTAAACACATCAACGAACACGCATTCACGACTGTTCACATGTCTGTGTTTCCTTCCTTCGTCCCTCAGACCGCCCTTCGTTCAACGCATCATCGCATCCTGTGCGCCGAGATGACCCCCGTCAGACGTCACAAATGGAAGGACTTCTGCAAGTACACATACGCCACAGAGCAACGTGCATCCATGCATCTGCCTGCCGGCCATTCACAGCTCTGCTTTCTCTCGTCAGGCATGCGCGTCGCTATCACGAGAACTTCATTCTCGCCGGCCTGGTGTACGCCGACATTATCTGTCAGGTCAAGTACGAGGAGCGGCCCCTCGACCTGTGCATGGCGGAGTACGCCGTTTTCTACCAAAAACCCTGGTGAGAGGCCAACAACACAAATCATATCCCGTGTTGGCGTGAATGGCGTCCTTTCTGTTGCGTGGATTGGATGGCTCTGATGCGATGCAGGTATGACTTGGTTGGTGAGGATAGGGTGCGGCGGCAGCCGTCGAGCCTTCACTATAGAGAACACAGACTCAAGTGGTGAGTGAATGGTGGCAGGGACGGACATTGAGCCGCAAATTCTCAATTTCCTCACTGCCCGGATCCCTGCCTGTGCAGTCTGTCGGAGTCTCTGAGTCGGCTCAATCAGGTGTTCCTGGACGTCATCACGCGCGACACCAAAGACGCACACACGCACCCGTCGATCCCGCCGCCAAACTGGCTGGAGCTCTTCTCGCTCGAGTACTACGCTAACCTACTGGTACGGTACATGTGGAAGACATTGGCGGTCAAAGAGCCAGCCATCCATCCTCTGTCCGGCTGTGTGTGAATGGTGTGCTCTCGGTGCACCCATTCATGGATCAGGGTCAGTTCGATCTGGTCAACATGAACGTGGAGTTCCCCCACCCCCTCAACCGCATCATCCGCCGCAACATGGCCAACAGAGTCACCACACCACAGAATGTGCACAGGGCACTCATTGCATGCCAACCGGTACGTCTTCATACGCAACGAGACCCCTCAATAGATGGATGGATGGATGTGTGTGTGTGTGCAGGTGTTTCGTGAGGTAAAGCGTATAGTGGATTGTGTGGAGGAGGAGGAAGAGGAGCACGAGCTTCCTCACAGCCCCACTGCCGCCATGGCCGCCGACACACGCGACGCAGACTCTGACGAAAACGACGACAAGAACGGCATCTTCCCGCCGTTCCTCGGTATCGGGCTCTTCAGATCAGGTGAAACACCCACATACCAACACAAATGATGGCCCCTCGGCCCAATATCTTTCCTTATGTCTGTGTGTGTGTCGCATAGTTGCGTTGACGAATCATTCGTGCTGGCCGAATGTTGACGTGGATTACGTCAACTGCAAAGAGTCGGTGGTCAAGGCGGCACGGCCCATCCGGGCGGGCGAGGAGATCCTCCAGTCGTACATCGACGAGGCCAAGCCGCTGGAACTCCGGCAGAAGCAGCTGCAGCAGGTAGCCGTACGGGTGATAGAGTCTGCAGGGGTGCGGTGCATGGAGGCATCTGGTTGTGTGTCATCAGGATTATGGCTTCACGTGTCAGTGCCCCAAGTGCCGGACCCAGGCGGCGATGAAGCTGCTGCAGCGGAGGCGGATGACCGAACCACTGCCGCCATCTGGACTCCCACCTCCACCGGTGCGCATCGCATCGGCGCATTGGTGTACCTATCGTCAGTCATGCACAAGGGATTCCTTCTGCGTGTGTGTGTGTGTGTAGGGTGTGAGTGAGGTGGCCTCTCTCGTCAATCTGCCAGTCGACATCGTCGCCGAGCTCCTCAGAATCGACGTACGCCACACCACCACCACCACCCACCCTCCCCAGACAGTCAGACACACTGCATGCCTTTCCTTTGCCCCTTTCCCTTCAGTCCGATGACAGGAGCAGCCGATCCAAGCACCCCCCGCCCCCGCGACAGCAGGTGGCGGCAGCTGAGGAGTCATCGTCCGAGTCAGAAGCAGAGGAAGAGGAAGAGGACGACGAAGAGGAAGATGAAAACGAAGAAGAAGAAGGAGAAGAGGAGAGTGAGTCAGATGAAGAAGATGAGGAGGAAGACACTGAGGAGGTCCCACCGAGGAAGCCCGCCAGACGGTACTCGGCCCCAGGGGAGGTGCCCTCCTACGCCAAACCCACCGTCTCGTCTTCATACCGCATCAACCCCCCTGCCCCGCCCCCACCTCAGCCCCCACCATCGCCGCAGCCACGGCGGTCGTCCACCACTGATGTACAGCAGAAGAAGCCTCGAGTGAGTCGGCCGGTCTCAGCGGTGCAGCACCCTGGGGCACGGCTGGCCTATCCTCCGTCTCCTCGGCAGCAGCAACGGGGCCAGGCTGTGATGCACATGAAGCAGCAGGTGCTGACGCTGGATCTTGCTGACTGAAGGCGACAGACAGGAGGGGGTGACTGGGAGGGTCGGTGGTGTGCTCCATGTGGCTAATTGAATTGACGTGAGACCTGTGACGGACGGATGGTCTTTGGACACCTGCACATGTGTGTGTCGGTGTGTGACAATGTTAAGTGGATTTGATGGATGGATGATGTGAATATATGAGTGCGTTGAATGAAATGAAGGCGGGGTCCTGCTCAGCTCGGTTGGTCAAACATTCGTTGGTTGATGGTAGGCAGGCAGATCCATAGACACATCGGTCCTCTCACCCACTGCTTAAAGCGAGAGCCACCCATTCCCCGTGTCACGTTGCACGTAGAAGAGGCGCATTCCGTCAGTCAGCAATAGACAAACAAACACCACCGCGTGTGTCCATCCATCCATCCATCCGTCCATGGCCGACACGGCAGGCAGGCAGGCAGTGGGGCAACGGCGTCAAACTGCGACGCGATCAGATCCCTCTCAGACAGGCTCAGCTCAAAACATTCGATCCATCCCTCCCCATCTCTCTGTCTGTCTGTCTGTCTGTGCATTCATCCATTCACGTACCCATGCACCCATCACACCGTTGACAAAACCGCGTCAGTCAAGTGCTGTGCAGGCAGGCTGATCTGGTATTATATATACTCACTTGAGCGAGACTGACGGGCAGGGCCATCAACTTGACTGACGGCACGGCCCATCGTGCATATCCATCCATCCAGTGAGTGATACCCATGTAGAGTAGACAGACATGTACGTGCGTTGTGGTGACTGGAATGGATGAGATGAGTGGGACGGAGGGAGAGCCATTGGCTGGCTACCCAACACACACAAGTTGCAAACACGAGCTCATCTTCCTCATCTCGTTGGTTTGTGTCGCACTCACCACCCACAACACACCGACCACAAGAGCACTTTCGAATGTGCTCATTGGAAGTCGGTCTGGTGTGAATGGTGGAACCAACACAAATCACCGAGACGAAGGAAAGGAGGAGAGAGCATCCATCCATCCATCCAGTCAGTCAGTCAGTCAGTCACCACCCCGTGTGTGTGCACACAGCCTCTGGCTAGCTCGCTATCGAACACCACTGGACCACGCACACGCCCACACACGTGTCTCCCGTCTCCCATCCGTCCGTCCGTCCTTCGCCTGTTGTAGTACTTTGCCGTCACCGCATGCCCCTCCCCCACGATGAGAGGCAAAGCCACACGGTGACGGCACATCGCACAACAGACAAAAAACGGAACGAACGAGACCGAGAGCGTCTCAACCAAAACACACACACAGAGAGGCCTGCCTTCTTGTCCCACCCACCCATCCATCCACCCACCCACCCACCCATGTATCACCAAACCGCCCCCCGGTCTGTCTGTCCGTCATCGACTACTTGGTGGGGTCGGGTCGGGTCGGTGGTTCCCATACTGGTGATGCCATTATTGTTATGCTGATGTGTTTGGAAACTGCAACCACACAACACACACAAACAGGCAGACAGGCAGGCAGACAGACAGAAGAACGGTGATTCGATTCAGACACACGCATAGGCGCCACACACACATGCACACCACATGGACGCCAGCGAGCCTAGCCGAGCCACCCAAGCCAGGCCCCCCTCACCCCTTCTGTCTGTTTCTGTCTGTCTGAGCTAGTGGGTGCCTGCCTGGCTGTCTGGCTGGCTGGCAGACTGGCTGGCTGACAGCGCACATGTCTGTCATGTACCCCCCCCAGGCGGCCCTGTCTTGTCTCGTCTGTCCAATGATTGACCAACCCATGTAGTCATTCCGTGTGAGCCATTTAGAATGATGCCTGTGTGCCAAACCACCAAAACATCCCACATGGACGGACGCACATGGCGGGCTGCCTGGCTGGCTGGCTCGGCTGGCACGCTAACGGATCGAAGTCTCGTATGTACTGCTTGCCTGATGGATGGATGGAGAGATGGAGAGATGGAGAGATGGAGAGATCGACCATCAGCAGCACGAGCACCAGCGGCAGGGTTGAAGGAGAGACGGCGCAGAGGGGAAGATGACCACAACCACCACCGGTCGCCAGCAGCACATGCAGACAGAAACCACACACACACAGAGCAAAGCAGAGAGACAGCAACGTAACGTCCGTGACGTGTGTGTGTCGACACACGTGATCGTATCGTCGTGTGTATGTGTCAGTCACGATATGCACACACACACACACACACACACAGACCCCTCAACCAACCCACCCAATGCACACACATGACTGACTTACATGAGTACGGACAGGGCTGTGTGTGCAAGTCAGGTGCCTGCCTCGGTCGACTTGCCTGTCGGTAGCTGGCTGGCTGGCTGGCTGGCTGCAGGATGGGATGACTGGCAGTATCTTTTTGTTTGTGATGGAAAACGCTGCATGCACCACACCACACGGCAGGACGAGCCAAGAGACGAAGCGGTCGGCTAATGTCCAGAATCCCGTGATGCACAAATCTACAACACAACACAACACACATCACAGCAGCAAAACAAAAGATGGGCGGTGAGTCAATGTGGGCAGCAAACGTGGCTGGCACCAGGCACACACGAGCGGGCATTCGTACGCATCAAAACACACAGCCCTTTCACCATGGGTAAGGGAAGAGAACAGTCGCTCTCTCTCTCTCTCTGTGCCTAATCTTGTTGTCTCTCTGTGTCTGTCAGTCTGTCTGTCTGTCTTACTTTGTGCTCGCAGATAAGATGTTGAGTATTGAGTAGCCTGAGTGGGCGACACCACACCAGCAGCAGTCAGAGCACCACCCACGCCATGGCCACCCCATAACGATTTTGTTTCGATAGCTAATATGCATCTCAATAGATTGGTGCGGACTGCACACAACACACAACACACAGCACACAACACACAGCACACAGAGAGAGCGGTGTATATCGCGGGTGGAGGGGATACGTGTGCAGACACAGACAGGCATGCACTGGCTCGGTGGTTGGATGGCATGAAGGACGCACACACAGTAACTACACTACACTGGTGGCATGCCAACGAAGAAGGGCACAACCAATGGTGGTAGTGAGTAGGTACCTATATACCATGCATACCGGTGTGTCGGTATTTGACTGGCTGGAATCCCACTAAGTGCATTATGCCAACACCTGACTCACACACACAACAGCACAGACCCAGACTGTCGATACATCGACAAGTCATAAAGTAAGAGGAACACAACACGGAACTACGACTCTCTCCCGCTCCGCTCCCTC